AAATGTCCAAGTGTTATAAGTTAAAAAATACGAAAAAAATGAAAAATGGTCAATGTGAAATTTTGACGGGAGAAATTATTTAAAACAGTGAATAAATAATTATTTTGGTTATTAATTGTATTTGTCCAGGTTGTAAAATAATTTTTGTTTTTGTAAGTGATATGCAATAGATGATTTCACTTGTTTTATTACTTGAGGAATCTTTTTTTTCATTTTACTGTAATTATAAATTAGGGACTGAAAAGTTATAGATTGATTGAAGGTGGACTTACCTTGGACAAACGATATATAAGGTTAAAACTTTTGATTTCCAATTTTTTTCAATTTTAGTGATTTTGAGCAATTTTTTTAATTTTTTTTCATTTTTATATTGCATGTCATTGGTTGGACAAAATATAAATTCAATCTTTCTAGTGTAAAGTTGAAGCCCGATTTTTAACAGTGTATAGAAAAGTAAAAAATTTTAATGTGGGAGAGCCAACTTCGCAGACCTTCCACCTTACATCAATCTATGGCTTTACAAAAAGATTTATATTCACGGTGTGTCTGAAGCAACTTTAATAACATTTTTCAGTAAATATTAATTTTATTTTACATATAAGAAAAACGTTGTTAGCCTCAAGAATGAAATTGCAACATACTTTACAAATATACTGTTTGTTAAGAATGTTCTTATTGTCAACTAAAATTCAACTTAAATTGCTAATATTAATTACTAAATTAAAAAAATAGCCGTAAATTCAAATTATTTTGAAATTAGAAGTACTTATTCAATCTTTTTATTTTCATCTTCGAATCTTCCTCGTGACGTTTTAGCGTCCAACAATATTCGGAGATCATATTCACTGTTCTTTTCCTTAGATGCGTTTTTTTTATTGCTTCTATTTTTTGATGAAATCTTTCACCTTGATCGTTACTTACTTGCCCAAGGTTTATGGAAAATAAGTCTAAATGGAAGTGAAAAGATGAATTTTTATAAATGTTGCAATTTAATTCTTGAAGCTAACAATGTTTTTCTTATATGGAAAATAAAATTAATATTTAATGAAAAAAGGTATTCTTAACAAGATCAAGATACAAAAAGAAATGTAAAAACTTCAAAAACAATTTACATAAAACAATTATTAAGAATGAAAAATTAAGGAAAACTGACAACAATCATACTAATTACGTATGCGTTAAACGTATGCCTTATCATGCTATAAAAGCTAGATTTTTCTCTCCGTGTAGTATTGCAAATAGAAAAACTGCAATAAATCAGTCAATTTTTAAAGAAATCTATTCAAATAGGGCTCGTTCGACGCAGAATTTAGTATGCTTAAATATTGCGTGAAGAAAAAAAATGTTTAAAATATAATCAATGCCGTAAACATCAGTTAAAGTTGAAAATTTGAGGAAAAGCTGACAATTTCTTTCTTGGAACTTTTCTCTTGTAAATATTACGTTTAATAAAAGAACTGTATGTGGGTTGAAAAGCCCTGCTTTTCAGCTTCAAAATGAAGAAAAAAACTTTTAAATTGGTGCAAAAATAAAAAAGTTACAAGGGATTATATTCATAAATATACGTGAAAACAGTTTTTTGGTTCTAAAATCAAAATTTGGGGGTGTTAGGGAAATTTTAAATACACCATTCTTCTTAATTTTTTGTTACCTACAACCTCTAGTAGGTCTGATAAAAAGTGTTGTTTTGCTGTCACACAGTGTTATAGGTTATACTTTTGATGTATTAATATTTAAGGAAAAAATTACCACATTAGCAGGACTTGAATAAAAGGTATTTATTTATTTGCAGAATAAAATGTGACTTTTTAGGTTAAAATTAAAAATTTATAACTATTAATGTTTGAAGCTTATTTATTCCTTTGTATCGAATTAGTTGTATCAAAAAAACTTATAAAAATTATTCAATTCACATTCAATCCACATTCAATTAATTTGAGCTCTAAAAAATGCTCGGGTCTACTGGACCCATGGTGCGATATTATATATTTTGTAAAAAAAAGTTAATTCCATTGAAATTTATTAATTTTGAAACAGAAAAACATAAACTCGCCACCTCGTCCCATCTTTTTTGAAAATTGCGATTTTGATAACATTTTTTTCGGCGGCTATAATTTAATCCACATACGAGATACGTCAAAATGATGTACAGCAAAGTTGAACCTAAAGAATCAAGCTTTCAAATAAGGTGTTGTTTATTAAAATTGACTGATTTTTGCGATCGCTACATACTTCTGCATGCCAAACTCACCAACACGCCCCACTGTACTTTATATATTACCCGGTTCAATTTCAGAAATTTTCCTGGTGCATTTATACAGTCTTCAAGCAATTGTTATGAAAGTGTCAAATGCTTTATGACAACTATTTGTACATTAGACCTAACAATGCTTGATGGTTTCTTAACAGGAAGCTTTTTCTACTGTGTAAATTTGAATCAGCGATAAGTATACCACTAACTGCTACCAATCAGCGCGTATGTATGCTGAAAAATTCGGAAAATTTCACTAATTCATCAGTGCATATACGCTGATTGGAATCAGGGTATACTTATAGCTCAGAATAAACATTTAGAGTGATCAGTCACCCAGTAAAAAAAAAGAATTAGGAGTAAGCGAAAAGAATTGGTGGTAACTTTAGCTGAATGCGGTTTGGCGAAAAAACCGAATTGGAACGTTACGGTGAATTATTTTTTTCTTACCGTGAATTCTTTTCTCTTAAACATTTGAATTGACGTTTGTTTATTCGAGTTTGCATTATAAATGAATAAGAATAAATGTTTCGAAGTGTAAAAAAGCCGATTTGGAATAAGAAATATATAATTTTTTAAAAAGAAATAAAAGTGAAATGTGATAGATTTACCGACAATTTTACCATGTGAGTACTACTCATATGGTAAATTTATCATATGAACACTACTCACTTGATAAAATCCTCGGTGAATCTGTCACACTTCACTTTCATTTATTTTTTTTAAATTATATATTTCTTATTCCAAATCGGCTTTTTTAGACTTCGAAGCATTTATTTTATTCATTTATAATGCAAACTCGAATAAACAAACGTCAATTCAAATGTTTAAGAAAAAAGAATTCACGGTAAGAAAAAAATAATTCACCGTAACGTTCCAATTCGGTTTTTTCGCCAAACCGAATTCAGATTAAGTTACCACCAATTCTTATCGCTTACTCCCAATTCTTTTTTTTTACTGGGCAGTTATACATATTTGAGGGATAACTATAGGACATCCCTCTAAATGTTTTAACAAACCCTTCACAGATGTTTTGTTCATATCTCCTGGAGGGACAATCGACTTAAATCAAGGGACAAATTATCCTTCTTGGGGATCACCTTCTTATCATGCGAGAGATAAATATATATGACAATCTAACCTCAAAATGTAATACATTTATTAGTTAATTCAAATTATTGATAATTAGTTTTAATTAATTCATCCATAAGTGATTAATTAAAATATTAAGTGAACTGTTTTGAAATGAAAATAATTAACTTTTTGATGGGTCCTAAGTGGTTAATTTAGATCATGCCTAATGGGCAAAAAACGAACATGGTTTTTGGGTTTCTATAATGGTTTTTCTATTTATTATGTATCAAAATAAAGGAAATATATACATATTCTTTTTAAAGTTTGCTTTTGCAATAGTTATACTAATAATACTAGATTTTTTAATCTTTTTAGTTAGAATAAGTTGATTGAATATATATTAAAAAATGTTAAACTAAGCGCGCGAAAAGGAAAAGTATTTTTACATTTACACGATTTGAAGGAATGAAGATAAACCGTCAATTCTTTTTTTGTTTGGAAGATGATTTAATTCTGTGTCAAATCAGACGAGTGTAAATAGCATTTTTAACAATCCAAATTAATTATGCCTACCTACTCGGCATGGTATTTTTCAGTCTTTATCTAAATAACATTTTATAATTAATTTTTGATTTTTAGTTATACTTAATATTCTTTCCTTGACACAGAATTAGATGATCTTTCAAATAAAAAAGAATTGACGCTTTATCTTCATTCCTTCAAATGTTATTAATTACTTAAATAATTTATATTATTAATTTAACACCCGTTTATCCGAAATAGTTCATATAGGATTCGTTGGATGCGGATTTCGATAAGCATTGTAATGGTGTTTTTAAAAATTTAACCACCGATTTATTATGACTTAAACAATATTCATGATTTTTTTCGCACTTCAAAATGAGGGAAAATATATTTGAATCAAAATCATTTGAATATGAACATGGTTGTTGTTCCAAGTGTGTTGACCATTAAAGTGTTCATGTACAAGACAATGCAAATGCTTTAGTACAATATCTTATTTGTATAGGTAACATTCAATTAATTTTTTCATGGTTTGTCGAATTTCATAATTAATGAAATATCCCAATACTAGGGTCGTAATATTCTAACCTAAAAGTGCAAAAAAGACGTTCTTTGTCTGTATTTTAGGGCATATAATATCATTATTATCATTGGATTACATAAATAATGCGCATGTGACTAGTGGGTTAATATTTACTTCAATTACTAGACTTCACTTAACTAGTGTTCTGATGATGGTGTCGTACCAAGATACTAAAAAGTTGCCAAAAAAGTGAATTTTGTGTTCACAATTAAATTGAAAGTATCAAATTGATATATTAATTTGTTACTTTAAAATTAACTGTGTTCTAATTATACATATTCCTATAATTGAAAAAATTTAACCGCATACATATGACAATAATGGAAAAAACATCTTTAATCATTAATCCCAGAAATTTTTTTTTTCTTGGGGCAATTCAGACATAATGCCCAGATATAAAGTTTATAATGTTATATAAACAACATACAGAAATTTTAAACAGATGAAAGTTCTTTAAAACACTTTAAAGTTAAGCATAAGTTTTGAAACTTAATTTCTTAATTATTTTACAAAAAATAAGTTTTTAAAGGATTGTCTTGAAAAAACACTATTTATCTATTGTTACAGGTCCTCGCGGCGCCGTAGGCGGTTGCAGCACATCTGGGTATAAATTGGATCCTTGGTGGAATCCCAATTCATTTTGTCCCTCGATATCAAGTCCAAGGCAACCATATACCGATGAAGGACCACTGAATGATAATTTTCATTATTGTAATCTGCAACATCGTTTCACGTCTTTTTCATCTTCGAACCAACAGTTTCGTCATCATAATCAGTCACAACAACATTTCCTGCAGTCAAATTCTATTAAAACTTTAGAGCAGGAAGCTGGCCCAAATCTCGATTCTGTAAACACGAAATGCCTTGATGCTTCAAAATCTTTAACAGAAGATTCAAATTCATTACCTGCTTGTTCAATCATAAGTAATAAACAAGTACTGTCTTCTTCACTTACATCTTCTACATCGATAGAAGAGGAAAATTCGTATTTACTAAAAAGAGCATTTTCTGAGGGTCAGAGTAACGTTATTTCCTCTTTAGTATCTCCAACTGCTGAGATTTCTCCGGATATTCAAATTAATGTTGATGATGCATTTGGTCCCACAAATGATACTTTTTCTTCAATTAATATTAGGATAAAAGAAGAACATTCTAATACAAATCGTGTTGAAGATCGAACTATCGGAGTATTACCTTCACCTAAATCTTCTCAACCCTTAAATCCTTTAATTTTAAGTTCCCTTCTTTCCTCTTTTCACATACCAAATAATAGTATAAAAGAAGAAGAAGAGGAAGAAGATCTTTTAAATAAGAACGTAAAATCGGTATATATTCCAAAACAAGAAAGAAATCAATTTAAACAAAAAGAAGGTGTCACTAAAGCAGGGTACTCTGCGTTAACTGAAAATATTTCACATGCTGCGCAAAAAGATTTAGTCTCTACATCTCTCTCCAATTTTCTTTTTACGTGTAATAAAAATTCACAAAAAGTAATTAACAGCAGAACACTTAGTTTCTCGAAAAGAGAATCTTATTCCCGACATATAGAATCTCGAACGACTGCATCCGTGATCGACATGAAGTACGAAACCCAGTCAGGTGCACCTACTGTACCACCACATCTTACATCTTCTGGAATTGAACCACCTCATAGTAGTCAAGCGAGCGGAATTACTGTTGGAAGTTCACCTGCTGAAATAGTAGGCGTTGAAAGCCTTTTATTATCACCGTGGAGTGCTTCCGGGCCAGATTTTATAGAAACGTCTGACGTCAAGCAGACTGCATCTGATTTACAAGATGCTTGGGACACAATTCTACTTGGTTCCTCAGTGGGTGTAGCATCTGCTCAATCTCTTGCCGAGTTAAAACCACTTCCACCATTTACTGGTTACACTGGACATCTTAGTATTAACGGAATTCCGGGTCATCACTATCATGCAATAGCATCTTCAGCTCAGCGACCTACTTTGCAATCATCATCACCATCGCCGTCTTCAAATCAAGAATACTATGAAGCTCCAGTTGTTTCTTCTAGTACACCTTGCCCTCAAGGTAATCAAAAACAACACCAACATCAGCATCAACAGCAGCAACAATTGCCACAGTCAACACAACAAGTCGATTACGATATTGAAGACATTGCCCAAATAATCGGATCTGCTATTGCTGATACAACAGTACCTGGAGGAGGTAATGAACCCAACTCGGATCACGATCCCGATGCATCAAGAGATTGGATAGATATTGCAGAATGGATTGATACTGCTTGTTCTCCAAAAGCTCATGAGCAAAATTCACCCAGTCCTTATTCGCAAATTTATACAACAACAGCATCATCTAATCAAGTCCAGCAACATGGTTCTACTTTACAAAATCTGTTAACTCATGGATATGCGCCGCTTCTTCAGGCTAGGCTTCAAGCCGGAAACGCTGTCCTTCAAAATACTCCATGTGGTGAGACACCCTCTTCAACTAGCCCTTACCCACCTGTTAGTCCCCCAGGAAGAGTATCAACCTCTTGTAGTCCAGATCATCTTTTACACTCATCTTATGCAGCACCATCGCATCCCAGGAAAAGATCCAGACCGAATCCTGGTTCACAAAATCCTTCCAAGAAAAATTCAGGTTCTACATCTCTTTCCTATGGGACTGAATCGGGACTTATTGGTGGAAAGGAGAAACCCGTTCATAGGTGTTCTATATGCAATCGAGGATTTCTTAACAAAAGCAATATCAAAGTTCATTTGAGGACACATACTGGTGAAAAACCTTTTAGATGTGAGGTTTGTGGTAAAGCTTTCAGGCAAAAAGCTCATCTTATCAAACATCAACAAATTCATAAAAGAATTGGCAGGGATTAACACTAAATACCTTTAAAAAAAACTCATTAGTGTTATGTGCCTTGTACATATTGGTCTTCTCAAACCAAGTTACATTGTGTGATATGATACGAAATGGTTTGTTTACTTAGGGAACAATAAATAATATTTAAGGGGCTTCAAAGAATTTTAAATTCAAATTTGTCTTCTTTTTATTATAATCGTAGGATTGAACTTTAAAAAAATATTAAGCCGTCATATGACATCTTTTTTGTATTATTTTAATTGCAATTCAACGATAGACGATCTCGTGTTTAAAGTGATGTTTCTTTAAAAGACAACAGTCAAATTATGCCGTTTGATGTATATATACGTAAGAACGCCCACCCATTGTACGGAAGTTAAACAAAGGAACAGTGAATTAAATGAATGATAATAGACAAATAAAAAGACGTATAAGCTACCGGCAAAAATATTGAATCCGCAAAAGAGTAACTATATTTTTACAAATCTATTATATAATAAAGTAAGATAAAATTTTCCACTTTGACATTGTTTTTACAGTTATTGGGGAAAGTGAATATGAAAAGTATACTGCATTCTTCCTTTCAGAAATATTGAAATATCAAATTGTACTATTTGTAGAATTGTTATTGAAGGTGTAAAAATTTAGAGATTACAATATGCCAGAAACTATTTCAGAATGTTCAACATTGAACAATTTATCATTGTTTCTGTACTTTAAAGAAAAATATAAATTAGTATGGTTAATAATTCTATCTCTTGGTAAATTAATAATATAAATTAACATTTAGAAAATATTAAATAATAATTATATAACGAAATTCTTTATGAGTCTATAGAGTTGATTTTTTAAATATATTTTTAAAACCATTTAACTAAAAGGAAAATAAAGGTATGAAAAATTTTTTTAACTTGTTGGACTGTTGAGATTTTCAAACAACCCCCTATATATGTATGTATATAGGTACGATACTGGACAGAATTGTCAGTCCGAAAAAAAGGACGTGTAAAAATTATAATGAATTTTTGCAAAAATCAGAAACTTGATTAATTTTTCTCATACGTTGACTTTGGTCAACTTTGGTCTGTAGGACATCCTACAGATATCTAAATTTCCGGATACGGATATGATGTCCATAGGATATTTTGAATTGTCCGTTGCTATTAGGGTTATTTATTAAAAATATTTGCACTAGATGTAGTTTTACATAAAATTTTATAACCTTTTCAATTGATTTTATACCCGCTTTTCTAATAAATTTGCCATGATGGACGGTATTTGAAGTTAAATTCACCTTTAAATATTAAAAATTTATGAAAGGAACGTTTTCTAATTTATAAATTAGAAAATGTAATGTATTTTTACTGTGATAATTTGAATTACACACGTTTGCTTAAAAAGCAGGAATTGTATGAGGAATTATATTTATGTAGTATTTACGTAGAAAAGAATTATCGAATTCAGTATAGAGTTTTTTTAGCTTTCAGGAAACGTGCAAAAAAATTTCCTGTGTAGCCAAAAACGCCAACTCACAGAATCACAGAAACGTAAAATATATTGTTTCTACAGACTAAATTCTTAAATTTCCTATGCTGGTCAGTGGTAATCTAAAGAAACTTGGACGGTACATGCGTCAAAAAATTTAGAACATCCACAGGTAAATGTAGGTTTTCCACCAATTATGCTGTTTATAGAAACTATAATCCCTGTAAGTAGATGGCTTGTAGAGTAGTAGATCCCTGTAAGAAACTTTTTCATAAAAATAAGTAATAATTAAAGTAATTTCAAATATTTTACTAAAATAACTGATTTTTCTGGTGGACATGATAGCTCGAGATAAGATGAACTGAAATATATAAATTTAAAGATTTTGTTCACAGTGAACAAAGAATTTTGAAAACATTAAATTTTAAATTTTTTACGCAACTTTAAAGTAAAAAGTCACAATTTTTTTCCTCACTTTTTACTTCAAAGTTCTGTGAAGTTTAGAATTAACTTTTCAGTGAAATAGGAGATGAAAATTAAAATGTAAAGCATTCGTTGAGCACGAAAAAATTCTTAAGTGATTTGAGTTTAGTTTTTAATTGGTATAAAAACACACTTAAATTTATATCTTAGAAAAACTAAAAACAAATTTTTTTTAGAAAGCTTGTCTTTTAGAAAATTTTCCTTCAAAGCCGGTAATTAAATTTCAGATTAAATGCGTAAGATTATGTAAACAATTTTTTTTTAATTCAAAAATTTTTACGCCTTTTGGAAAAAATATTTTGTAATATGTTTAAGAAACATTTTTAAAATGTTTTAAAAGCCAACCGTAATATGTACAGAAAATGTATTCCTGATCTATGCTGGCTTTCCTGATATATAAGTTCTACATATTAGCAACAAGTGGTAAATCAAATAAAAAAGTACAAAGTTTAACAATCGTTTACATTCGATAAAAGTTTGAAAAAATTATAAAATTCCATGAAATTACTTACCCCGATAACTACAATATGGGACAAAAAATCCTAATCCCAAAAGTTTAGTTTTAGATTTTAAAACATATTAAAAACATTGTGTTTTCCACACAAGTTTAAGATGTTTTAACGTCATTATTATATAGTTTAATTTTTCAAATTTTAACCTAATTTGCGCCGGAAGATTTTTATATTATTTCGCATGTTTTGTCTGTAGTATGTATTTATTTATCGACAAATATATTTTTGTATAAAAACTTATGTGAGATGTGATCATGTATATGTGCGACGATGTACCTATGTTTGTAGTTATGGTTTAATTTGTTTTTAATCAATTATTTATAAATAGTCTTATATTATATTTTTCCGTCCTCTAAGTTTTCTTTTTTCTACTCTTACTATTTATTTTCATGTATCCTACCTCTAAAAATTGTAAGATAGACTTTTATTAACTACGAAATCTTTAATTTTTTTAATTTTTTATTATTTTCTAACATAACTTCTATCTTTCAATCATTTTTCAATTATTTTGACTTAATTTATTATCTTTTAACGTTAAAATTAATCGTCTTTACTACTTTCCTTAATCTATTGTAATTCGTCAATATTGTGTTTGGGTCAAAATTAGGGTTTTGACAAAACAAATTTTTCAGATTTCATATTTAAGAAAAGACATTGGCTTTGCGAAAAGTAATTTAATCTTGGGCACAATTTTGAAATATGGAAGAATTCAAAAAACGTGATAGTATGTGACAAAATTAATAAAATTTATTTATGAAATATTGACATGGTACAATAAATATTCTGTAATTTTCTATCGTGACTTAATTTTCTGGTAAGAAGAGGTTTTTTAAAATGTATAAAAATGATTACACAACATTTTAAAACTAACAATAGTCTGGTATTGAATAAATTAATTTATTTGAAGTCACTTTAATCCGCTTTAATATATTTTTTATTAAAATAAGTTTGCAACATTTACTATATGAATAGAAATCAGTTCTAAAGTGACATTAGTTTGAAATTAAAGTTGTTAATAATTGAGTGATATTCGTAGCCATATTTATTACCTTTTAGTAACCTCTTCTTTCCAATAATCTTGTTTTGTACATAAGAATTTCATCGAAAACTTGTTATCACTCACAAATTTGTCAAATATATTTAAGACCCATTAGATAGTATGAAATATCTTAATTGCAGTTTCAAAAAATAATGCTATTTTTAAAAATGTTGAATTTTGAGAAATTTAGGAATCAATTTGTGCCGACAGCAATTACGGATTAGAGCTTGCATCGAGCCAGTTGTGAATTATTTATATATTAATGTTGGATTAAATGATTGTTACCGTACACTGAAATTTTTTTCTTTTTTGTTCATCCCACATCCTTTTTCAAGTAACTTTTCTCCAGTTAGTTTACATTACGGTAGTATTAACTTTTGTCAAAGTTTGACACTTTATTTTAGAACTTAAAAGGGGCGCCTATTTTATAGAATGTCAAAAAATATGTAAATTTCAGGAATTTTTTTCTCGAACTCATTAAAATAAATCGATGAGACATTTAGTGGATATTTTCCCTATTGAAAATCCCTGTACAAGATCTTGTACACGAAAATGTACATGTTCATGAGAACATATACAAGATCTTGTACAATTTCGGCACCAGAATTTGGAACAAGTTCTTGTACCAGAACTTGTACTAAAATCTTGTCAAAATTTAAAAACTTTTTAAAAATGCTCGATTTCAAAATTTTAACAACTGTCCACTTCCAAAATGTAATATACTGTTATTTCATTTGTTCTCAATGTTTTAAAAATTAATTAATTAATATTCATTAATCGAGCTGTCCTTGTGCACAGGTCATTTTTTTGACATTTTAAAGTGAATTCTCTTCGGCGACTTAAGAAATTCCAAATTTCAAATAATAAGGGCCACCCTGATATATAGGGGAGAGTGACAAACAGTGGGACACTTTTTTCAAAGACATATTAATATGTCAATTTTATATATTTTTGAACACTTTTTGGTATTACCATAAAGTTTGAACTCTTTTCTATACAATGCACATATTCTATTAAGATTATATTGTGATTAAATAAAAAAATTTGAAGTTTTTGAAACTTGATACATTTTTCTTGTTTTGAAGGTTTGTGTTTATTTAACAGTGGGACACCTATTATTAAGAACCGAATAATTATTTCAATAATAATATTCTGTTTCATACTTTGTAAATATATATTTTTTGCATTAAATAACGTTAACAAATGCTGCAAAACACTCATAATTTAATAATATTTTACATTTTTATAATACGATGTCAAGTTTCATATAAAAAATTGCTATTATATTTTTTCGCGTTTACAGTACTGCTGATCTTACGTCATAATTTGGTCATAACCTAAAAACAATTTGGAGCAAAATTTGAATAGTCGTTCTCTTATCAAGTGTTACTTTTTAAATGTTGTCGAACAATAATTGTAATAATTATTAATTTTGTTTTTTTTTGTTTTTAGCATAAAAAAATCACATTTTTAGTCGCTGTGTAAGTATAAATGCGCATGCGTATAGTTGACACAACTTATAATCAGTGTTGTCAAACTCCACGTTTCATAAACTTAAATTTTTGCCTGTCCAAGTGTTGAATGTCCCACTGTTTAAATTAAGCAATCACAATAAATTATTTAAATAAAAGTTGTTTGTGAAATTTTAAAATATTTTAAATTATTGGATATTATACTTAAAAACATAAATAAACGAAGTAACAATTACACTTTTTTTAAAAACTGTCCTATCTATATAAAAATCAGCATTGTATTTCAAGAAAAAATTTACTCTGGTACGTAAAGAACATTTTTTTTCAATTTTCTTCGTAAATAATGAATCAATGTGACTAAAATTTTTGGAGATAGTGTGTTGTCATAAACATGGTTTACATTTAAATTTTGGTCGAGTTTCTTTAAGTAGTTTTTCAGGAAATTAAAGTATCCTACTGTTTAAACTGTCCCACTGTTTGTCACTCTCCCCTATACACAAAAAACCTACTCTCATTTTTGTTGCAACTCAAAATGAGCCAATGCTAAACGACTCAGACAGTGGTGCCACCAACCTAACTCATTTTAGGTGCACTTCAAAATGAGTAGCGTACGCTACTCATTTTGAAACCAAGTTTTTTCTGTGTATGGGGTGAAATTCCTGTAACGAACTAAGTGAAAAAAAAGTTGATCGGATCGGCCTGTAACTTGCACATAGTTTAGCCCTAGGGGTGAGTACTTTAACCAAAAAGTATTGTTAGGTTTTTTCAAAAACTGTAGGAGAGAGAGGGGGATGAATTTTTTTGAAAAAATTAAACTGTGAATTTTTAAAGAGTTATAACTTTTAAACAATAGGATGAAAAAAAAAATGGACCTAAATGTTTTCGACAGGTTTTTTCCTGCTCTTTCGAATGAACAATATGAACTTTTTGGATTAGAGGATTTTTTTCATAAACAATGGCAATGTTAGCCAGTTATTTATTAACATTTCACTAATCCAAAATACTTCATATAGGGCTCGTTGGATGCGGAATTACGTCAGCTTTTAATTGGTAGCTTCAGAAATGCAACAACTTTATTTGTTTGTAAAATATTTAATATTTTATTAACTTTAATTAACACTAGAACTACCGATGGTACAAATTGTCCCGCCGCGCATGTTTCTTATAGTGTATCTTCCCTTAATGACTAGCTAGAGGGCTGAAATTTTCTGACTTTTATTTTTTTATGTTTTTTATGTGAACAGTATGGCGGTAATGATAAAACTGTTATATGATGCTTTTGACAAAACTGAAGTGCATCAATGGAGATGTGAGATTTATGATTATCAAAAATTAAAAGAACAGGATTGGATGCCGAAGATTGAGAGTGGTTTTGAAAATGCTTTAAAAACAACAAAAAGTCAGAAGCTATCATCCATCCACTTTTGTTCGCACTTCCGGCACTTCCGACTGGTGCGTTGGACAAGAAGTGGGATTTATAATTTTTTCGTGGAAAGACAAAAAACGGTGGTATATAGTTCCCTTGAGCCAATACAGCCAACGCCATTGTCACAAGAATTCCCCTTTCAGCGGAAGTTATCTTTCCAATGTGCTTAAAACGTCGACGACTCACAATTTTACCTGGATTTTGTACGGTAGTGAGCCCGGTTTCATCCATATTGAAGATGGATCGTGGTGGATAAGAAATTCGCTCATAAACTTTTTGTAAATTTTCAAAAAATTCCATGACAGTCGTTCGATTGAAAGCTGAGGCTCGGGCAAGGCTCGTAGCTTGAGGCATGGACAGATTATTATGATGCACTTCTTGCAGACATATCGTTGTTTAATACTGCGGAAATAGCATTTTTTAATTTTTCCCCTCCACAGCAAGCGTCTTGCGAATATAACTTCGCACCATTGTGATCTAAAAGAGATAAATGTTTAATTTAACAAAGGGTAATGTGTCACGAAATTCCCCTGGTGCTCATGTCACGAAATACCCCAGCATCATGTGTTATTTTTCGATTCAAAAAAACCTTATGGGAGATGATAGAGCATATACTCTACGTTTCAAATGCATTCATAAGATTATAGACAACAAAGTTTTACTTACCGGACGGTATTTTTAATTGAAAAATTCGTCGTGGAAACAAAAAAAACGAAGATTTCTAGGTTTTACTTTTTTGCTGCGAAAACACGTTTACTGTCACCACGAAGTAGTATAAGGAGACGTAACGCCCATAGTAGATTGTGGTGAAAGTGAGCCCCAAAATCGTGTCCTAGAGTTTACGCATTTTTCTAATAATGCGATGAGGACGCCGCGCGTGGAGAAATAGAGAATTAAAATTTATCACGTGCTCGCATGTGCTGACAAATTGTCTTGAACCGGTGTTTCGCGCTGGCACTTTGTGCTTTGTTAATGTTATCAGTGAAATGTCATGTTTTATAAAAGGATGTGGATCAAAAATAACTACAAAAGAAGAAAAAAATGGAGAAAATCGAAGTTTTTTTTCGGCTCGAACAGTATTTAATTTTTATTATTTATTATTGTTTTATTATTGTTAATATTATATCATTAGAGTTTTAATTATTTCCGAAGTGTTTTTTATTTTTTAATGCTTTCCTATTATAGTATACAAGTATTATAAGTTATTATCTTTGTTATATAAAAAACGTTAATCTTTAACATTTATTTGATTATTCTAATTCGTCAACAGCTTTTAATAATGAAATTAAGTCATCCACAGATTCGATTCTCACAAACCTTGAAAAAGGATGAATTTTTTTATTTATAATAATTTTAATACTTAAATCGCTATACAAAACAACTCTTTTTATTACACTCGCCTTATCATCATTCTCTAATTTCAAAAAAGCAAGGAAAGATTCATTTCCTTTAATGTAGCACCACTTTTCTGATGGCAATTCTATCATACTTAAATTGGTTTTGCAAGTTGTAAAATTGAATGTTGTAAAATCCATATTTGGCTTCAGCAACTACATTCTATATTTATTATTTTATTCTCCAAATATTTAATGAATAACCTAAAATAAAGTAATATTTATGATAAATGTTGTAATTTTAATCTTCAAAACATAAGTTATTTATTAAATTCTTAATGAAAAACGTACCTTTCATTTACTTTCACTAATATTTAATAGGGTAACTGCACCAGTGGTGGATCAGTTAAGCCCCTTAACTTTCTTATTTTGACTTTGAAGTTCTGTTAGGTTGCTTTTAGACAAATTCGAGGTTATTCTTTATAGTATTATGGACCAGATAGTTCCAATAGACATTTCCTTCAAGGTTAGACTTGATTTTGACACCTCCGTTTACTTTAATGCTCCATCAAAGATAATTTGTCAATGATCCTATTCTGGATCACTCCCACATAGCACGACTTCTTGCTGTGAGGTTACTGTAAGGATATCTGTAGGGTTTGTAAGGTTACTGTGTAAGCCTGCAGTAAACTTGAGGTCATCTTAAAACTTCCGCCTTACAGTAAGCTTACACAGTAAAGCTAAGGTAAGCTTACACAGTAAGGTCGTGGTAAGTTTACATGGTAAGGTTGTGGTAAGCTTACACGGTAAGGTAGTTGTAAGCTTCCTTTAAGGTTACTGTAAGGTTGATGTAAGGTTACTGTAAACATAGAATGTTGTTAATAAATAAAATTTATTAATATTTATGCGCAGTAGTTTTCTATGGCACATACGGCTGCGCAGTAACTTTTATTTGACAAACCCTATTGGGGTTCATAAAGTACTTTACCAAATATATAATTTTTTATACAAAAAAATTTATAATATAATATATATTATAATATAATTATTTTTAATA